AGATGAGAGAATAAATATAACAATTTGCTGTACAACTGCTGAAAATGATTCTCCTGCTTTGGCCAATATTCTGAAACATAAGGCAAAAACAGTGAATGCAAAACTTGCAAACGAGCAGCTCAAACTAGAAAGTTTCACCTTTCCGCCAAAAAAGCTAGATTTTGTAATAAAAATAAATAACACACAAAATGGTAATAATATTTGTACTTTTTGCCTGCCTGCCTGCCACAACCACCACCACCACCAAAGTAGCGGTAATAATATAAACATAAAAAGTGAACTGAGTGAAAGTGAATCATTGACGGTTATCACACATTGACTGCCAATGGTAAACTTTTGATACTTTTCCTGTCCTAGAAGACTTCCTCTATTTCCCCATTGCCACTGGGAATCCAATGGGGGATTATAAGAGAAAAGCTAAATTTTATAAAACAGAAAACATCTTTTTATTTTAAAAAAGGCTCAATTTAGCAGTCGTAAAGATGAATTTACATCCAACTTTTAACAAATATTAATGATACTTCGTTTTTGTAAAAATAAAATTTTTCAATCGATGCTCATCATCGGCATCAACTGCAACTGTAAAAACAAATTCAACTAATAAAAAAACTTATTTCATTTTGTTGAGCACAGGAAAAACTGGCTAGTTTTCACTTTATCAAATAAATAAAATACAGAGAAGGCCTTCCTGAAGAAGGAGCAAAGTTTTCAATCATAATATTGAACACTACCAGAAAAAAAATTTAGCACAGGAAATCGCACACACTTGCACGCTGAGTAAATAAAATAACTCAAAAACTACAACACTGGCAATTGCCTAGGCCAAAGTTAGCCTAGTAAAAATACGAAAAAAATTGCATTTGAAAACAAACAAAATTTTTCAGATTGAGATTGCTTCCACTTCTGATTGAAAGTGATGCTACAAAAATCAACAAACAATTGAGCTGTTGAAAACACCAGCTGAACCATTGTTGTTACAACTTAGGAAAACTAATTTAAATTTAACTTCAAGTGCGTCAAAAGACACAATTTTTTCAGTACTAAAAAAGGACAAAAACTGAAAGTAAAATGATTATAATGAGTAAAAACTATGGTGTTTTAGTGCACACACACACATCAACAAAATGAAAGGCAGGTAAAACATCATTTGAGAAGGCATTTTTGAACAGTAGTATAACAGCAGAAGCAGCAGCAGCAGCAGCAGCAGTAATAATTAATGGAAAGCAGCTCGTTTAATTAAAAAGCACAGCAAACTGAATGCCAAAGAAGGGAAAAGGGCACGAAAACGGAAAGAGAACAGAATGGAATGGAATGGAAACGGAATGGAATGCCACCTGCAACCGGCATGCTTCAATTACTCTATTTCTTTTCTGTTTTCAAATTCGCCGCCGACGCATCTCAAAAAGGTTACATTTTAGCAAATGCTGAAAACAAATTCTGCCCGGATTCAGCCACTGACTGAGACTGAAACTGGGCATCATTTAGGTTGCATGTAAATTAGAGAATGAGAGAATGAGAGCAGGTTGTAAAAGGCAAACATCCGTGATCATAATTAGAGAATGAAAAAAGGTAGAGACAGAATTGAAAAAAATATTTTGGCGGGATTCTGTAAAATTCTGCAACTGAGCTCTCTTTCTTTGATGTCATCATTTGACTACAATTTTTTTTCTCATTTTTTGTCTACATTTAACTGCACTTTTCAGTAGTGTTTTCAGGTCAAAATGAAACCTTTTTCCCTAGACTAAAAGGGCAAAAGTGAATAAATGAGTGAGTGAAGTAAAGTATGTGAAGAACCAGTGATAGGCTAGTTAGGTGAATTTTCTGCTTAGAGGTAATAAAATTAATGTAATCTAATAAAAAAGAAAAAGAAGAAGAAAACGACGACGACGACGTAATGGGCAAAAAAGGAATGCAAAAAGAGGACTAAAACTAAAACTAAATTGCACCGGTGCGGCGACTGTGTTTGTGACGTTGTACGGTTGACTTGCTTTTCAGCTCTTTTTGTACAAAAATGAACCCTTTTTACTTTTCTGAAAACCACTAAAAGATTTGCACTCTAGGCTGTTTGATTTAACTGAAAGAAAGCAAAAAAATGTGTGTTTTGTAGAAAACCTTTTTAAAAGAAAACGGCATTTTCGTTTCAGAAATGGATGTTACATTTTCTAAAACAGACACACACAATCACACACAAAATCGCCATCAAATCATCTGTCCAAGAAATGTGTGTGTGCGTGCTGATGTTGATTGACAAAATGCTGGCAACAACAAAAAATGAATTCTCCTTCTTGTTGCCTGCAATTGACAATTACCGATAAGTGAACGGGAAGAACCGGAAGTGACGAGTATAGTCTTACAGCAGGAGGAGGAAAAAGCAGCAACAGCAAAACAAGAACTGTACCAAAAAATGAACAGAAAAAAGCAAACAAATGACAACAGCAACAAAAAATGAAGAGTTGGGCGACAGTCATTTGCAGAAGATTTTGCCCACAAACAGAGCTCAACTTACAGGAAAAATCATAAATTTTAAAACAAAATTAAGAAAACAACGTTAGAAAGCACCAGAAATCTAGCAAAACAAACCCAAAACAAATCCAAAACAAGCTTCTTTTTCTAGAAAAAAACAAAGAAAAAACAGAAAAAACACACGATCCTGGAACCTGATTCCACACACACACAGAATTTATCTCCACAGCTCATCTAGTTGACTAGTTGCTAGTTAAGCTCGTTCATTGTTTCAAAGTAGCTAGCTCTGCTGCTGCTGCTGCTGTTTTTCCGATTTATTTAGACAGTGCAGCATTTTATTTAAATGCATAAATAAATGATAAGAGCTCAGCAGCTCTTTTTGGTGCACCAGGGTCAGCAATGATGCAGTAATTGGCCCACTAAGAAGAATGCCTTCAACAATTTACCAAAGATGGCAAAAATGAAGAAGAAGGCTTTGCTGAAGAAAGTAAGCAAAGAGGTAGAGCTGAACTGAGCTGAGCTGAGTTATTTTCAACCAAAAGCTCCGATATTGATCCCCGTCGTCCCTTCCGCTTTTAGTCCCTCTTTTTCCACTTTCACTTTCCACTTCTTTCACTTCTGGTCATTAATAATGAATGTCCACCAAAAGAAAAAGAAGAATGCTGCTGGCTGGCTAGATCCACTCGCATGTCGCATCCCTGCTTAACTTTTCCTTTCCTTTTTTCTGAAAAAAATAATAAAGAAGATGGAGATTTGCAGCAGAAACAGCAGCAGAGACGTCCCTTGAATTGGCAAAGAGTTGAATTTTGGGCAAAAAGTGAGTGAGTGGGTGAGTGAAAAACAATCTAGACAGGCAGAAAACCTCCATGATAAAACAATTCACTATCAGAATTGAACCTCTTTTTGGTATATTTTCAAAAGAGAGAACAAATCAAAAGTGTTCACTGCCTAAATTATTACATTTTTTTCGCGTAATCTAATTGTCTCACTCACTCTCATTTTACAGTCGTACTTCTAGAGACTTTTTTTGCTGTCGGTAGCGGTTTTGCAATCCTACTAGTAATTAGATTGTAATAGAGTGGAAGAAAATGAGAAGAGAACTGAAAACTGAAAGACAGAAACTGAAGACAATTGAGAAAAGTGAGGGTGAAGTGCACCAAGCTCGACGACCGTTGTTGCGTGAGCGGGCGGATAAAGTTTTTGGTTAGGAGATTTTGAAGGAATAGAAAGGAAAGTGAAGCAAGTTGAGCAAATTGAGATGAGAAAAAAAGAGAAAAAAGAAAAAGGAGACTTACGTGTGACGTTGCAGTAATTGCGCAGGAAGATTAGTGAAACCAAGAAGAAGAAGAAGAGAATGAGAGACGAAAGAGAGAGGGATGATAATGATAAAGTGGAGGATGAAGCTGAAGATGAAAGACAGAGCTCAGCACAGCTCAGTTCAAAATGAGAAGAAGAAGAAGCCTTCAAGATTTGCACTTTCCTCTTCACTTGAAATAAAATAAATCTTTAGTTCTTCTTCTTGTGATGGACAGAAAAATGAGGAGAAAAGAAACACAGGCAAAAAAAGTGGACAACGATGAAGCTTCTAGTGACACTACTTGGCTCTCAAAAAAGATGGAATCAAGAATCATTCACAGTTGATTTTTCCGGTGATGATGAGGATGAATTTTCCGTCGAGGTGAAAGAAATAAAAAATCAGCATCAGCCAACAAACCAAAAAATGGAGAGCTGAATTTTGGCGGCTGCACAGCACTGCCACCAGCCAAACTGCATTCGCTTGACAGAATGCAGAATTCAGAGGAGGCGCGCATTCCACAATTCCCTCTTCTTCCCTCTTTCCTTGCCGCAGGTGCAGACGACGCGAATGGCTGCTTCTGCTTCGGTTGCTGCTGCTGCTGCCGGTCCTGAAACAAAGTTGCCGCTACCGATTTTGAACCAAAAGAGCGAGAGAGCGAGGGCATCTAACGAGGCACTGATGATGCTCACGAGCAGTAGAGTCGTCGTCGTTGTACAGCACATTTTCTCTTTTCAGTTTGGCTCTCACCAGGCCTTTTTTTCACAAGCCCTTCTTCTTCGTCTTCTTCTTCTTCTTCTTCTTGTACGACCACTACCGTACACAGACGGTAGCGAAACGGTAGCTCAGGCAGGCATGCTCAATACACAGAGAGAGGATGCTACTGAACAGAAGTGAACTGAAGTGAACTGATGAATAGGCCTAAATGTGCGTGTTTTGAAAAAAAATTGCTACTGCTGCTGCTGTAGACATCTGTCGACCGGAAACTCAAGATAAAAATAATTTTAAAACAAAAATTCTGTTAATGATTTGTACAAAAGTAAGTAAATAAAGCTCAGCAAAGCTCATAGTCGTTGTGGCAATTTAAGTGGGGAAAAAATAGAAAGAAAGGAAAAGGGTAAAAAGTTGTGCAGAAACATTTCAAATCTTGTACAATAAAAGTTCATTAAAAATAAAATTAAGTATAGTATCTGAAAGATATTGAGCCACTGAACTTTCTATCGATGTTTTTGTCATTTTTTACTTTTTGTTGTTGTTGATGTTCAGCACCGGATCGGCCAGCACCAGATTGGGATACTCTGCGGCCAGCTGCTTCCAGCCCTTGGTCTTCGAAACTGTCCCGTAGTTGTGCTTGATAAAATCGAGGCAGCTGCTTTTGAGGACTTCAGTTCCAACTTTAAGCGACTCAGCCTGGCGAAGAACGGCGGCCACGGAGTTCACCTCCAGCGACTCAGCTTGCGCCTGCTCGCAAAGACGCACCAGACGGTGAACTTTGTACTAGAGAAAAAAATACCAAAATAAGTTAGTTCCTAGAACTTCCTCAAAACCTTCAAAGCTTGTACCTTGAGGGCCACCTTGAGCAGGCCAAAGTCCAGCAGCACCTTCTTCTCGCTCACCGAGCCAGTGTAGATGAAGCGAAGCAGCTCTTGGAAAGTCTCCGGCTTGACTTCCACCTGCAGTGTAACAGCTCGTCCATCAGTGGCCAGAAACTCCTTTGTCTCCTTCAGGGCGGCCATCAGCCCGGGAGCTCGTACCTCGAGGATGGGGCTGTGCACGGGGAACTCCTTGAACTCTTCTTCCTCCTTTTCTTTAGCTTTGGAAACAGCCAGAAAAATGTCAGCAGCAGAGGCCTTTGAGCCTCCTTTGGGTAGAAGTAGTCGACCTAGGTCTTCGGCCAGTTGACGCTCCTCGGCGCGACAGGCGCCCTCGTAGTCGAGCTGGACGCTGGTGAAGTTGGCGCTCTCGTGGAAGCTGGTGCGAGCGGTGATCTGAGGAGGGGAAAAGATGGAAAAACCAAAGGATTTTAAACCAAGGTTCAACTTTACTTAAAAGTCGAAACCTAAAATGACCTGAAACTTTACCTCACAGACAAAGATCACATTGGCGTCCTTGGGCGGCAGCAGCAGCAGCTGCTCATCAACGACCAAGCTCTCAATTCGAATCAGCTTCTCCCACTCCAGCACGTCCAGTGCCTTGAGCTCCTTGGAGCCCTCTGGTAAAAATAAAATAAAATAAGACACTTTTATCTAAACTTAAACCCCACCCAAAACACACCCAAAACACTTACCAACACTGACCAAAATCTTGTTCTTCCCATTGAGCATCAGCAGGCGGTAGCTGACCAGGGCGCCAGCGTCCTCTTTGTTGGGCACAGAGAGCACCTGCAAGCGGAGACCCACATGTGCATAGTGTTCCTCGGAGATTCCCTTGGGGAAAACGGTGAAAGCAAAGGAAAGTCGATGCTCGGTGGGGAGGACCAGTCGGGCCGAGGTGATGCTCGGGTGAGGCTGGCTGGTGCTGAATCGAAGCAGACTGCCAAAGTCGGCCAGTTCCCAGCGGAGATTGCCGCGGTGAACTACCGGGGCGGTCCTGCCGGCGCACTCGGGAACGCCCTTCTCCGGCTGGTACTTCTCGCTGGCTTGGCTGCCTGTGCCAGAGCCAGAACCAATGCCAGAAGTGCTTCCAGTGCTGCCGAAGCTGCTGAAGAACTTCTTCATGGTATTCTTCTGGTGTTAGAGAGAACTCTAAGTAGAAAAATAAAAGGAGATTTAAGCTTGAGAAGAAGGATCAAGCATTGAAAAACAAACCCTGAATGCTGTTGACTGAAGAGAATATGAGCTGACTGAGTGACTGACTGAGACGACGATCACCGCTGAATATGAGCAATGCTGGTTTGTGCTCTTTGTGCTGCTGCTGCAGATGCCGCCAGTGAAATTGTTGCTCAACTCTCAACTTTCACGACCACTGCTGCTGCAGTAGTACTGCTCAGTTTGTTAGGGGTGACGATGCTGCTGCTGCTGATGGTAATGCTTCTGTTGATGCTGCTAGTGGTGGTGGTGATGATGGTAGTGATACTCTCTGCTACACGGTGATCACTAGTGAGTAGTACCTCTACGAAGGGAAAAAGAGAGAAAGAGAGAGAAAGGGGAGATTCACTTTAGCTGCAGATACAGCAATGCAGACAGTGGTGGTCGCAATGGTGCTTCAAATATTTGCCTAGCATCAGTCGCCGCCGCCGCCGCCGATAATACGTTTTGGGTGCCCTCACACTGTTGTGCACTTTTGGCTGGCTAGTGCACCAATTGGTGTTGTGTGTGTGGCTAGATCACTAAACTGAAAAGGGAAAAAAGAAAAAAATCGCAATTCTTTGAATTTGTCGTCGGCGGTTGGCACTGTCAGTGTTGGCGGCATCCACTAATTACCCAGTGCTGCTGTTTCTCCTTTCATTTTATCATCATCATCACCCCTCAGTTAGCTAACTGTCTTGTTTTGTTTGTTTGTCTCTCTGCACCGAATAGAAAGCAACAGCAGCAGCAGCAGCAGCAGCAGTGCACAACCAACCAAACACAGTTGGAGCACCAGGGTTGGCTGCAAAAGTGGTTCCTGGATTCTAAAAGCAATGAAAAAAAGATTTGTAAAAATGAATCTTTTTTGAAACAAAAAAATCTTACAATTTTCACCAGTTATTCAGACAGCAAACAGGTTTTTTTGTCAGCTCAATTGTCTTCAATTGGAGCTTCAATTAGAGGCAGGCGGGCATGCAGCGTTGTCTTCCTCTCAATTGAGCGTAATTGGCACTGGTGCGAGACAGACACTAGTGCTCTGAAAAAGAAAAAGAAAGTGCACTTCCTCCCTGACGGCCAGTCCGAAAAAAACAAACCAAAACCACAAAAATCAGAAGGCAAAGTGCCGACACATCATCACAGATCACAGATCAGCAGCAGCAACAGATCAGCAGCAG